GCTGAAAGCTTCATGAAAACTGTAAAACTTTGCCAAGCCACCATCATTGCGGATAATAATAATGATGATAATGCTGATGATGACGGTGATAGTGACTTGCTTAAGCTTACCTAAATGTTATATTCAAAAAAGAAAGAAAGAAGGAAAAACGCTTGACTGCATTAGATATGTTAGTCATGTTAGGCATGTCAGCATATTTAAAAAAGTGTTAATGCTGGTAATGAGAGTGTAAAAAGAGAATAATGCAACATTTGTTATTTTATTTATTTATTTATTTTTTTAATTTTCTTTTCTTCTAAGATGACACGAAACAATGATTTTCACCATTATGCTATAAAAGAAGACTATAAATTTTATTTTAGATCATGTACATAGGATTTTTATGTACAGGTTTCCGGTCACTAGACATTTACAGTTTCTAATTTGGAGTCATGATTAATAATATCTTCTTTCCTTTTTTCTGTTGAAAATTTTTCTCTTTTTGCATATTTGTATATTATTTTATTTTCATATATCCTGTTGCTGCGTTTTAATAAGCGTTGAGGAGGGTTTCGATTGTTTTTCTTTTACACCTAAGTTCTCATTTTATGCCAGCAATCTTAAGAAAATATAGGCAGCTTAAGGCGACTCTTGAACACCTAACACACGAATCAATCTCACAATGTCTGTCGAGAATTCATCATCATCATCAATATGCTTTTATGTATAATAAAATATACGTATATATAAAGATTTGTTTAGTACCTGATTATCCCAAATTAGTACGTAGAACATTGAATCTAAGCTTAATTTTAAATAGAAACGCATCGTTGTCTCTGTTTTCGTAAATGCTTCGGAAAAGTCAACTAGCCAATGCCGAAGTTGTACCCAGTATTGAGATTCCTCGAACGTTTTTGTAAGTCTTGATTTCAATTACTCCTTGACTTCTACAAATCTACTGCATTAATATAATACTTGAAAAATAAATAATGGCTCATATTATATTACGCAATATGAAAATTCATGAAACAATTATTTTTAGCGCTTAAAAAGAAAGGAGCATTGCATTTGCTACATGACGCTAGTGTAATTTTACATCTTAGTCTGTTTGAAATAGGGCAGCGAATCACCTCGTATTTTCGTGCAGCAATAAACGACAAAGGATGAGGGGATCATCTAGGGTTTATCCATTGTAAACTTTGCTCCAATGAGACATTACTTGGCCGATCGCTTTTATTGCTGTTTATGTGAGAGCCACATTGCAAAGAGCGTCAGCCAAATCATTGCGAAACAGGCCAAGATTTGATAATTGGTTGTTTGAGGGCCGTTTACAATAGAATGTTTTTAATAAGTACGAATTTATCACGACAAGGTCCAATAGATGATAAAATAGGCGGAGGTACCAATTGCACTTTTTGGCTTTTATAGGATATCGATCTAAGTAGCTATCCATCTAAACCAATCCTTCCATGTGCATATTATACTTTGTGCTATTTTTGGATAAGAGATATTGAACTTTTGCTTTAATGACTTATCATATTGACAGATATTGTCTACGGGTTGCGAATCAATATAAGTAGACGATTAAGTCACAGCCTAGTTGTCTTTTCATACCGTCGCTGAAGGGTCAACAAATTTATTTCCTCTGAAATTGCCTTAGTCGTCTTTATTAGATCCTTCTTGTCTGCGAGTCTATAATTAGGCGGTCTATTCTGTTGTACAGTTCCGACAGAATGGATCCGCTGTTTCGATAAATAGTATGTCAGCGACAATGGCATTCAAAAAGGATCGAAAAACACTATATAATTCCTCATTTTTAGTGTCAATTTGACATTATTGGTGGATCTTAAATCTAGCTCAACTGCCAGTCTTTTATCTTCTTGTCCACAGTACACTTCGCACAAGACAGTATGCGTATCCCATGAGCCTACATAAAATAATTAGCTTGTAGCTCCATTTAATGGGTTTATTTGGCAAATTCTTTCAGAAAACAACCTATTTTTGTTGAAAACATTTGTGCGTCTATTGAGAGGCATTGGTCTATGGAAATAGATGAAAATATTTCATTTAGATGGGCCGTTACAGGTCAGATCTGGTGTAAGCGATAGTGATTTGGATGATCTCTCGGAAGATGTGTTTCATAATATATATAAAAACGTTAACTCGTAATTAGCTACTGTGAAAATTATTCAGCTAAATTCATAATCACAACATTATTAAAACAATGATGCAATTACTTAAAAAAGATTACAAAAATATGAATTTAGTAATAAATGTTTTACAAAATATCTTTAAGAGTAGAATCGATTTTGCATATTGATGTATTTCTACATCAAAAAAACTAGATTTTTCTTGTATAACTTTATCAGTATATATCAAAATGTAAATATGATTCTTACCTTGTTTCGATTCAAAAACAATTTTTCAAGGAGGAAAATGTTTACTTTTAAGATTTTTGTCCAAATTTTTTTTTGATTGAGTGTATAAGCCACAATCCTTATTGGCTTAATCCGTTAAAATCAATAACCCAAAAAAAGAAAAGAATTTGTAAAAGGCAATTAAAGGTTTCTTAAATATTGATAAATAATTATTTTGTATTAATCAATATATAAATATTAGGCAGAATGCTTCGACACAACATTTTATGGAAGGGGGTCGAATTTCACGATAGATAATTATTTAACACTTTCACTATAAATTTCATATCATTTCTGTTTCATTAATACCTATTTTATTATTTCGTTAATACATTTCATAACAGATGTTGTATACGTACATATTAAGCGTATAAATAATACACATATATAAAAATAAAAAGGTATAAAGTCCAAGTTTGTTAACATAAAGAACTAAAATGATATTCTTTTATATCCAATTAGGGTAGAAAAACAAGGGATTTAATTAAATTCCCCGTCATTATTCTCGAAATCACTTAGGATCCGACCTTTTCCTTTTTCAGCTTCGATACCATGGCATTGAACGACTTACCGTTCTCGAATTTCTCCCTTAATAATTGATTTTAGTCCTTTCATATTGGATGGTTTGTTTTGTGTGTATCAAATGGCGCCTTCCTTTCTTGGTCCTTATTTTTCCAGCTGCACATAACGAAAAGAATGTTAAACTTTTTAAGCAATAAACTCCACACGTGTACTCACCGCGTTTCTCTACTGGTGAAAAGAAAGGCATCATTATCGAAAGATTTGACCGGAGCGTGTAATTTCAGTGTCCCTTTAATCTCCTCGACTGCTGGCTCTACATTTGCTAATAGAGTGACTAATTATTGCGTCGATAATAATTTTTCGGCCTTTGATAGTCACAATTAAATATAAAAAAATGTCGTTGCTTTCTTCTCCTTTTTCATTTACAGATGAAAGATAGTAACGGTTATCAGTTTGGTCCCGAATGAAAGGTAACTTTCAGATACGTGATTACCCCCAGATTCCCTTTAACTACAATCGTCTCTTCAATTGCCGCATTCTATACCCCGATTAGCTTCCTCTTACAGTATATTCAATTCGACATTTACAGACGGTAATTATAACGGCAACTCAGTTCAGTCAACATACGAGCACAAGAATCTAAGTTGAGCTTCTAATTCCGACCACGACGATTTTAGAAATGCTATTAACGAAAAGTCTCACATGGCAAAATTAATTAATAACGAATTTATGCCTGCATATATACTTTACATTTCTTCTCCCTTTTCCTACTGCACACGAAACAACAGTTAAATGATGAATATTTATGACCAAACAAATTCGATTACAACTTACTGTAAGAAATCAAGGGGGAACACAAAAGTTATTATAAAAGAATCTTTACAACTTTAATTTAATTTCCACAAAAATTTTTCTTTTTTGAGTAAAATTAATTTAATGAATTATGTAACAATTTTCCTTAAATTTAACTTTAAATTAAACATTTAAACTTACTCATTTTCCGGTCCACCTTATTTTTTAATTAGGACTTCTCGAAAATCAAGTGTAACGACTTCTTTAAGTAAATTGCTCATTGTTGAGTCAAATAGTGCATTAGGTGGCAATAAATCATTACCTTGTAGTGAAGTAAAACTACTATTATTGAAAATTTTAGGGAAAACTTAGTAATAAATATATAAACGAAATCTGTAATTGAATTCGAAGCTTTACATCTGCCAATTGTTGCAAAAGGTGATAAAAATTGAAAAATTTCTTATACGACCCTTATCTAAATTGGTTCAATGACTCATCTATATTTATAATTTATAATGAATATTTATAATTTTATTTACAATTCAAACAAACGGAAACCTGCTTCTTATGTATTCTGTTAGTCATTCTGAGTCAATGATAACATAGAAAGCCACAGCGAAAGTCTTAAATGAAGGAAGTGGAAAAGAATATCAATTTTCGTTTTCGTTAAAGACGTAAGTAGTTTAAGAAATACGAATAATTTTTTTTAAAGAATTATTAACGTATATTTTAGCCTTACTTTAATTGAAAGAGTCTCATTTGCAGCTAGTTCTATGTTTGCTTCGTTTGTGTCCCAATTCCCCCTTTAAGTGCTTGGTCATATCCAAAATCCCCAATAAAAGATTGAACATCAAATTTCATATTATATACGTTCGACATTAAACCGGCAGACAACATAACAACGCAATATGTTTGATAAGAACACGAATCAAATTAAACCTTGATAAAAATAGAAGCCGGCTTTAGTGGAAAGAAAAGTGCAAGCATGTTCATTGTTTTCTTTCTGGTTGGCAATACTTTGGTTTTGATTAAATTTATTTAGTTATGTACAGCAAGTAAATTTTACTCTCGGAAATTTTATTCTCAGCATTTTTTTACATCTGTATAAGAAATGTACAGTAAAGTAAATTTTACTCTCAGAAATTTGTTCTCAGCATTTTTTTGTGTCTGTATACGAAATGTGCAGAAAATGAAATTTTGCTCTGAGAAACATTGAAAAGTGTTGAATTTGTCTATAAATAAGTGAGTGGTTGTCTACAGTCAATCATTCATTCAAATCATCATTCACTCAAAACTTCAAAACTTTAAACTAGCTTTTAAATAGTGAGTGCGACTAAAGTAAAAAAGTGATTGAGACTTGGAGAAATTATTTAAGAAAAATTCCGAAAAAATATTTTTCCGTAAGCCTTTCTTTTCTTTATCATATCAAAATATATATTTGAATATAATTCAATTCACCTACGCAAAGGGCAAGAAAAATATCAATAATAATAATAATAATAACGATAAGTAAGCATTAATAATAAATAATAACAATAACAAGAAACAAAAGAAAATGGTGTAGCAGAAAACCACACGTAATATATATAAAAGAAACAAGATAAAATAAAGCCGCTACACAATAGTAGAATTAGGGCTGAACGAGCAAGAATAAACAAAAATTGTTAAAAAGGAACACGAACAAAGGATTTTCTTTTAATAAAAGCAAAACAAACCAGGTGGATTTTTTTTTTTAATATTCGACCAAGTGCTCAAGAAGTATTCAAAGTAAGTTATTTGCGACTTTTTCATATGCACATGAACATAAAAAGAATTTATAGACAATTTTAATAAATCATAAATGCACGTATATCTACAAGTGCACATATAGATAGAAATATACATGCGCGTGCAATAAGCATAGTGGCGTAAGTCTATGTACAAAATACATAAAATTACACTCCCAACATAGAGTAGAAAAGTTCAAAATGAACTCATACTTTTACCAACGGAAAATTTTTAGAAATGCAAGTTTTAATGCAAGGAATTGATGATATTATTTTTGAAGTTATAATATAACGTATATATATAACGTAAATATATATATGTATTTATACATATATTATATGTATATATATCTACATATACATATATACATACATATATATATATATAACGTATATATATAACGTATATATATATATATATATATATATATATGTATATATGTATATATATGCATGTTATATATATATATATAGAAAAAGTAATATAATTAAGAAATTAGCTTGCTTTATTCAATTAAGGCTTGTCTACGAAAGAAAATAAATAATCGGAGTTTCATGGTATTATAATGTTTCCGTTTTACGTCTGAAAAATCGTTTTGTTAAAGGAAAAGAGGTGAAAGGAAAAGATGGATTTAAGAAGCATCATAAAGAAAGACGCAGTGTTAAAAAAAGCATTCAGCAATAACACCTTCTGCTTAGCTCGCTTAAGTGTAGGGTTGCCCAGTTTTATATCAAGAAAATGAACCTCAAAGGTTTACATTATTTTTAAGCGCCTGTGTTTGTAATCCAATTACTTTTCTTTCAGTCTTTGCATTCATTCATACAATTTTAGCATTTTTTCTTTTATTACGCCTATTTCTGGCTCTCCTCGCTATATGTACAAAAGGGCGTTCTTATTCGTGTCGATGTGTACGTAATGTTTGTTTATTGCATTCTTTATCGTGTGTATCTATCTGTTGAGAGTCCTTTTATTGTTGTTGTTGTTTTCGTTATCACCGTCATCCTTTCATACCTTCGTCCTTATATTATATATATATATGTATATATACATATATTCATATTTATATATATATATGTATATATACATATATTTATATTTATATATATATGTATATATAATATTTTATAATATATGATATATTATATATATATTTTATATATTATATATATTATATGTATATTATATATTATATATATATGTCTATACATGTTATATTTTCCGATTTACTTTATGCAGGATTTTTCGTGTTTTTGGGGCGTATGCCTGTCGTCGTTGTTGCGTCGCGGTTTTTGTTGTTAATAAACTCCGACAATTTTTCCTTTGTTTGCATTTGCCTAGTAGTTGATAGTTTCGTTAGACTTTCTTTTTTTTCTTTCCAATTTAAAAATCAGTCTATCGTCATTAATGTTATTATCAAAGTGTATTTATACTGTTTGTGTTTAATTTAAGTTATTTAGGTAAGGTGCTAACGCATAACAGTAAGTAGTCAATAATCCATTTGTCGCTTATTCGAGATATAATGCTCGTCCAGAAGACTTATTATATTAGTGTGTGTGCTGGTGAATGGTTATAACCATAGTGAAATTTCAGTGGATGTCATTCGTAGTTATTTCTTTTCTGGGCTGCATGCTGGACATACTTAGTGTCTCGCTTGAAGTCAACTTGACATGATAAAAGAGAATTCATCGCAATCTGCGATATACGCAAAATTTGATTACATGGAAGAAAAAAATTTCTTTTCAATGCATTCACCGTTTTTGTTTTCGGAAAAGAAGAAGTGCCTTGCAAACGCCTATCGCTATGCTTAATTTTTTGAGAAATTAACGTTTAAAGGCAGCCACTTTGACGTGTAAGCTAAAGCATTTTACGGATATATGTTCGGCGTTGTGAACTTGTTTAGCAAAAAAATCTTTTGTAAAATAAAATTTCAATCGTCGGTTTTTAAATACAGGCACACTTATAGAATGGCGAGTATTTGCAATTTGAAAACAACGGAACAACAAATAATTAGAAGTTAGTTGATTTGGTTAGACAAATTTTTCAAGCCGTTGACGTGATTTTAACTGTCAAACAGGCAGATAAAACAATCCCGCTACTCATGTTAAAGCTTAGTGCAGTTACATAGCTCACACATCCCATGTAAAGAGTCAAAAGAAAAAATGTAAATAAACAGTTTAGTTTTTTAAAAGATAGACGCATTTATTTACGCCATTTTTACCGTATAAATCGCGTAAAACCTGCGATAAGAAATCTTTACCAAAAAAAAAAAATGTTAACGAAAGTTTGGCAAATTTTGTGTAGTGAAATTTCCAATGGACATCGGATTTTGTTTTTTCTTTGTACGAAGGAATTTGAAGGATATTTATTCTCTTGACCAGCATGAGATGTGAAGTTGACTTGGCTGTGACCGTCCGTTCACAAGGCTAAGATTGGAAAAGTTTGAGATCGACCAAGAAAACTAACTATTTAAAAAACATGGAGAAGAAAACTTTGAAAAAAAAATGTTAAATATAATAAAAGATTATTCTTGTCAATGACCTTTAACAAACTTAGATGACCCAAACAGCTTCATTAGCCTTTGAAACGTGAACGGTTAGAAATATGGTAGAAATTCGTTTTTCTTTAAATAGAATACTTTGTAACCCCTTTTAAAGTCCTTGCGCATGTGCCGAAATTCAACTTCCTGGCACAACGTTGGTCCCTTAACGGCCTCTTCAAGTCTCTTCACTGCTGAGCTGTTTGTTTAGTGTTTTTACCTCTTGAAGACAAATTGCTCTCCACCCGGAAATCCTTTTAAGATGTATGTGTCTTTCTGCTGCCTACCTTTTATTACTTATTGAATTGTTTAATATATGTGAAAATTAAAATCAAAGCTGAAACATGGCGTATATATTGTTACCTGGTGGCAGAGGCTTAAGTAGATGTCAGAACGCTTATAATAAAAAGAAAATTACAACACTAATTTAACAAATATTTAGCAGGGCCATCTTAAAATTTATTGCATATACAAGCGTGACCAGCTCTTAATCCGCAATAAGCAAAAGTTCTAATATTTGCTGACATTAAGCTTTGGACAAGTCAATCTGAATCGTGACGGCTGATACGCCCACAAATAACAATATACTTTCAAATTTTCCTCAATTGATGTATGATTTATGGATAAAAGTGAGGCGCAAAGATTAGCCCTAAGTCCACTCTAAATTTCTGTGTTTTGTTTAAATTTATCGCGGCGTGCGACAGGACTAATTTTGCAAAGAATTATTTGGAGTCTGCCAAATTTTAGATAGATGATTGCTTTTTATCCACTTAAATTTGGATCGATATTATCTTTGAAAATTTGAGCCATGCTTATTGATAAACTCTGCCTTGTTTAAAAGTTGCTTTATGCTTGTTTGGTTTACCTTTGTCGCCACGGCGTCAGTTATCTAAATGAAGGATTAAGCCACAACACCTATGATCTTCGGTGGTGGGTATAACAACCCCTGATGGAGTTTCATTTAATTGAGATTTAAAAAAAAATTTGCCGAAAACAGCAAATATTCATATTTTGCCAAGCAATAGTATCCTCCAAGAGAGGGTGATATCAATAATCTTAACTTAAACTTACGTTGCACAAAACCACAACTGCGTGCAGAGCTAAATTAAATTAAAAACCTTAATGTATAATACAGGTATATATGCAATAGTATGACATAGGTATGTCATGCTGCCACCCCCTTTAGTTTTTATGAAGTGCTTTATATACTCAATTAAGGGTTGAATAAAAAAAAAATTACTAGAAAAAAGGCAAAAACGCAGTCGAGAGAGCGCAATTACGTCTGGAACAAACACAATAACCACATGAGGAAATCCCTTAAATACTAAAATTAATACTTTCTCTAATATATCTGCACACATGCCGTTCTAAAGATGAACAAAATTTTGGCTTTAAAATACGATTAAGAGCATTTGAAATGCATTCATTTTTGTTGGGTTTAGGATTTAGGGAAATTATTTATTAATACGTATATATACTATGGAAAACTTATAAAAAATGTTATTTTAGAAATTTCCGCTCAATGCCGGAAATCAGAACAATCACACGCAAATGCGTACGAGTCGATACATGTATGTTAATAAATTTATGCAATCATCATCGCGACATCATTACCATCGTCATTGTTATAATCATTTATAATGGGTTTCAGATTATCGACAACTTCGTACCTAGCATTTTGAAGGTTTCTGACGGCTATAATGCATAAGCCTTATGCATGTTATGCATTTTTAATGCATCAAGAAAATGTCAAAGAAGTGTTTTTTATAAAAACAGAAAACATGTTTAAGTATAAACCAGAAATACCATAAAAGTAAATATTATATATTAATATGTATATACATAGCTGTACGCGAATAGCAACACATTTCGTTCATTGTGTGTACTTTAATAAAAAGTGAACAAGTGCGTCTTATAAACAGGCCTGTTTGCTTTCTTGCATTTATGGTATGTCGTCCAAGGGTTTGTACATTCATGTGTGCTGTGTTCAAACGCCCTTGAAAAATGTTTCTATTTTAATATCAACTCCAATTCAAGCACTCATTCAACACCGCAATATTTTATGCTCAGTACAAGCGCGTAAAAGTTTACGATTATTTTTATTTTGTTAGTAACATTCAGAACATTTATGACACATTTATATTTACTGTGTGTCCCATTAATATTCGGATTTTTCGCTCGACAAAAAGCAAAAGTTTGTTAGGCCTAGTCCATTGTCCAAACATAAACATTTTTTTTACTACTTTGTACTACCAGGGAATACATATTAAAATATTAAAAAAAAAAAAGAAACAAAATATTATTCCAGTAGACAAGAAAATTAAGTAACTTCAAAATATTAAACAATAGAAAAAAAAAAATGTTTGACGGGGTTGCCTTTTTGCTTAACAATGTTATTTAAAAGTTTTAGCATATTTTGTATCAATTTTCTTGCATGGGAAACGGATCTCACTCCGTTGGTCTT